TTAAATAGTGGCTTAAAGCATTTTATATGAAGTGTAATACAAACAAAACATCTAAATTAATAATTTATATAGGCCAATTTTCAAACGGTTTTTTGTTGTTGGCGTTGTCATCATGGGTACATATAAAACCACAACATGACCTTACRGTTAATCAGACATCAGTGATCGATGGCCATATATCTAAACTAATTTAATACATCACGTTTTGTCACAGGTAAATGATCACAATAATTTATATTTTATTTCATTTTATATATAGAGGTAGGTTACGATGTAATGATAGGCATTCACATAGTTTTATTCAAAGAATTAGCTCGTTCTAAAGAAAATTATGATGGACTCATTACCAATGTTTCACATGGTAATATTTTTTAAAACAAAAATTAAAATCATTTGCTCAATATTATATTAATAAATACTGTTAATAATTATGTTTTAGCTTGTTATAACTACAATGATCATAACTGCTGATGGACAGATAAACCGTTATATAAATCCTACATGGCTGGAAATGGATGCTAACAGCGAATTCTATCCTGGTGGTGAAGTAATAAGTCAAATCCTTCAAGCTTACGGTTTAGGAGATAGTTATGGACCTTCACGACTTAGATCATCTGTTCTCGATCGGAATGGTTACGGGAGATCTTATCCAAGAAACCGAATTGTAAACAATTTGAACAATGTATATGACTCAGATCCTTTATTAACTCAGGAATACGTTGATCGTAATTATGATTATGTTGACAACACAATCAGGTAATTTAATATTTAAATTTTATCTTATATTTGATTTATGACAATATAAGTGGCCCATTTACAACGAAGCATTAAGTTGTATGTAGGTTATGTTTATAGCCTATATAGGTACTAAATAGACTCCATAGAGTAGGTAGGTGTGACATGTACTTGTGATTTATCAAATCAGATCTCACCCCCACCTTTTTACTGTTAATTATTCGTTTGATAATGTGTTGAACATTTTTATGTACCTAATTCAAAATTTAAATGATAAGTTTCTTAGTTATTAAMATTTTTGTACTAAGGATAATAGACCTCAAATATGGTTTTGCTTGAATATAAAATAGACTTAAAATATTGGAACTAGTATTTATTATACTTGGACCATGTTCACAAATTATCATTGTTAATAGATTGATATTAATGAATATAATTTACACAAATTTATATCTCCATAGAATGTTCCTTAAATAGTACAATAAATCTAAAAATACCACGAATTTAAAAATATCATCTTTAAGTATACTTAAAATTTCCAAAAATCTGGATTTTGAATAACTCCGTTATTAAAGAAAAAAGAATGAGCATGGCTGGGAAATCACTCTGTATATATACTAGATTATTTCATAGTAATTAAGCATTTGATTCACTGATGATTCACTTCAAGCAGAATTTAAAATCATTAAATTTGAACATAAAAAATTCAATTCTGAAATAATTTACAAAAATCAGATTTAAAAAATTGTATAAGAAAATACTAAAAATGTATTGGACACCATAATATTTGTCTCTCTAAATACCGGTTTTGAATTAATATAAATCCCATAATTGTACTGTAAATTGTGATCAAAAATAATATTAAAGTCTGTTTTGTAAATATACCATAAAATTAAACAAATATGAAAATCCATGTGTAAAAAAAATGTTTATTTAAAAATATATTACCTTTATTAAGTACCTACTTAAAATTAGAAATATGAACGACTATTAACAAAAATTTGTTGYCTTATATATTTTTCGAAAAAGTTTGACAATTTTTAAAAATAACCTAAAATATGTACCTATTTGTGTCCACTTCCCAGTTGATATAGAGAGACCATATGATTTTGTCAAATCATTTTTGTTACTGTAGAAAAATATTTAAATAATAAAAAATAAAAAATAMATTATTAAAAAATATTTGTCACAATAGTTTTATAAGAGAGAGGTAAATAAAATAAACCTTTCATTTCAATACAATACATTATTTTAATATGATTTTTACCTACTTTGTCAATACTATGTTCTGTAGTTTAGCAATTTATTTCCACGTTGAACTACATACTTTTTCTCACATTTAAGGTTGTGAATTATACACGACTAAAACAACTTAAACAAAATAATGTTATCAAATGAAAACCGAATAAAATATATTTATTATATTTTAAATGCGTATTTTTTTATTTATCATAGGAATGTATTTAACCACATATTTTTTTCTGATTTATTTTCAATTAAAATGTTGCATACGATATAACATTCTAATAATAAACATTTTTTCAGGGGTTCTAACCATAGGAATAGGAATAGTTTAATCGATATTCCTCGGAGAACTAGGATTAATATGGTTTCTGCTCCGAGAACTATTTATTACCCAGCCGATTACGTAGACAGAGATCCTCCAGCACTATCTTACTCAAGGTCAAGATCGGTAATCGGAGATCCAGTAACGTCCCAGGAACTAATAGTTCGTGGCCGAGAAACTTCGAGACTTATCCCAAGATCCACTGTGGCAACCGAAACCAACGAAAAACGCAAAATTTAGCAGATTTCCATACATATATCATGAGTTCAGTAATGTCTAGACATGGTGTGTGACTTGGATAAAAATTAAGTTATAAAATCAAGTATTTTGACTTTATATAATACTTGTCCTATATATGTATATTACAAAGTTGATTTATAAAAAATTGACTTCTATCACGTTTCTTGTATCGTAAATAAAAAATATATATATAATTTATTTTTTCTTGGTTTATTTTCCTATTATTATGCAATATACGGATCACGATTCTTGGCGACGCGAGTGAATTAATGCRTGATTTTTGGCTATGCATGCTACCTAACTATACCTAATATTATAAGAAACAAGAATGCGTGTCAGACGAAATAAAAGTGAACGTGTGAACATTTTCTATGACAGTCAGACGTAGTTCACATTATAATAGTAAGTAGATACATATTATAATATATTATATATGTGSACTCAACTCTAAAGTGTTTTATCTTCCCAACGTTGTATTAGTGTACAGTAGATATTATAAATATAGTAGAGTTACATATATAATATGAACAGAATTGGATTGACTTAAACAGTTATATATTATATATTATTGTTTTAATAATATACTTAAACGAAAGTATACTTAAAGTATAATACACAATATACATGATACATCTATATGACTATATATTGCTATGTTTGCTTGTGACGTATTATATATCTTTAATGCGAAATTATGTATTGATACGAATATACAATACCTTCTTTATATTATGTTATATTTGTATAACGTTAGATAATATGGATATATTATTATTATTCGTATTATTTTATAAATCGTTTTGAGACATCAAATTATCAGCAAATGCCATTTAAATTTCTGTACATTCTTATAAGTCATCATGCGTTGTAAAATCAGTTGTTCTCTCGRTGATAGAAGGGGAAATTACTAGTTTCACACAATGTATACAAAACGTAGTCCAATTATTATTTCGTTTATGCACTCTCTCCCGCACTGTCTGTCCGTCCGTCCAATTGTGTTTGCTCTAGTTTCAGTTCATTGTTTGTTTTCGTCATTTTCGCAACTATCATTATAGGGTAAAAATATCGTGATCTGCATTTAAATTGAACCTAACATTACGTTAATGCATTTAGGCTACTACGAGTACTTACCACTCATGATGCAGACACGCTTTTATTACTATACCAAGTATACCTACAATAAGAGTAATAAGACCCTGAAATTAAAGTATTAAACACAATATTGTACATTTACGTAGAAATATATAACTACTTTTATTATGGTCGCAATTTTAAAAACAATAATAACTATTTATTTTATAATAAAAAACAACTATTGATTGTAATTGTACGAATATTAATTATTATCGATTGCAAAGCTAAAGAATGCCAAAAACCCAGTGAAACGGATTTAAAATCTTAACGCATTCAATGTCATAACTCATATATTCATATACTTATATAACAAAATAACTTAATTGATATAATAAATAACATACTAAACACTCGTGATTGCAGACATATCATATAATGTATATTATCAAGTTTTTAATACAAAAACAATTCAATTATTATATTATTGGCAATGATAAGATTTACACGATACGTCGGAAGATGGTTACAGTAGCTTTGCGCAGGTACCTATGCGCATAAACAGAATATGAAAATATAATAATACATCATTAATTACGTCAAATAAATTTAATTTAAAAGTTTAAGCTAAGATTATATCGTAGAATTACATATGTTCTCTGCAATGAGTTATCTCGTATACCTAATTATCTATGCAAATCCTCGTAGTATTTTTTAAAATTATATAATCTAAAATATAATATGATGATTATAGTTCGCATGTTTGAAATATTGAAATATGATTTATCAACTAATAAGATTTCATGTACTTGGGTACAATCATGCATTTTGAGCAATAACACCTATTAAACCTATATTCTTTCCAAAAACTATTTGTACCTATAACCTAAATTCGTTAGTCATCGCGCAATC